GTTGACTTCCCAGTTCAGAGGTACCGTCAAGAGACAGGTTAGTTTTACCCTACTACTGAGGAACCGCAGGTTCAGACATTTGGTGTATGTGCTTGGCTGAGGAGCCAATGGTGCGAGGCTACCATCTGCGGGATTATGACTGAACGCCTCTAAGTCAGAATCCCGCCTAGACGCAACGATACCGTAGCGCCGCCGCCCCCCGGTTGGTCAAGGTTAGCGGGCGGGGGGAGGCCTCCCCCCGGCCGCGCGGAACGCCGTTCGACACTGGGCTGGGGTGCGGCCGGACGATGGGCGCCCCCTCTCCGGTTTATGACACCGCATGTTTGTGGAGAGCATGGTGCTAAATGACTTGCAGATGACCTGATTCTGGGTCAGGGTTTCGTACGTAGCAGAGCAGCGACCTCGCTGCGGTTTATTGAAAGTCATGCCTCGATCCAAACTTTTGTCGGCCGGACCTTCTTTTTTTTTTTTCTACCTCCCCGCGCTTCCCGCGCGGGGAGGTACCAGGGGTCGGCCCGCCCGGAGGCCGGGCGAGGCGGGGGGGAAGCCCAGTGCGGCCGGGGAGGGAGGCCTCTCGGGCGGATGAAGGAGTATGCGGCGCGGCCCGCGGAAGTCATCTTGAGCACCGCGGGAGAGGACCGGCGACGAGGCAAAGCGGTGCCGGCAGAGAGGCGTCTAAGGTCGGATGAATGGAGCACGGAGCGCGCTCCTCTTCTTCTCAATGGCTGGAGGTACCAAGGGTGAAGAGCGGGCCGGCGCGGGGGGCCGCGAGGGGGCCGGGAGGGAGGCCTCTCGGCCGGATTAAAAAGTGTGCGGCGCGGCCCGAAAAACTTAAGAGTTTGCACCGCCGGAGGGGGGCGGCGACGAAGCAAGCGGAGCGTGGCCGGCAGAGTCGTCTTGGTCGGATTGAAAGAATAAAAAAAATTCCCCCATTCATTCTCAATGGCGGAGGTACCAGGGGTGAAGTTGGAGGTACCAAGGGTCCGGCTGGACCTACCAGGGGTCCGGCTGGGGGTACCAGGGGTCGGCAGTACTGCCGGTGGCCGCCAGGCGGCGGTGTAGTAGGCAAAAGGCCGTTGGAACTATTCCCCATTCATTTTCAAAGGCGGAGGTACCAGGGGTGAGGTTGGAGGTACCAGGGGTGCAGCTGCGGGTACCAGGGGTGAGGCTGGAGGTACCAGGGGTGAGGCTGGAGGTACCAGGGGTGAAGCTGGAGGTACCAGGGGTGAAGAGCGGGCCGGCTTGGAGGCCAAGTGTGGTCAGCAGAGAGGCCTCTTGATCGGATTGAAAAAAAAAAAAATCCAGTTCTAAGCTAGCTGCTAGGCGCCGGCCGAGGCGAACCCAACGGAGATGCGCACCCCGTGCCACCACCCCCGGCCCACCCCCCTGACGGGGGGGAAAAGCGCGAGAGCCGCGACCGCGGGGGGACCCGGCGAGCGCCGCAGCTGAAGAGATCCGCGTGAAGGGACCGGCGCACGTCCAGAGTCGCCGCCGACACCCGCCGAAACCCGACACCCTTGCACCGACCCGCCTTTACGCGGGGCCGGCGTGGACTCCCGGCGCGGACAGTTGCTTGGAGACCTGCTTCGGATATGGGTACGGTCTGGCGCGAGATTTACACCTTCTCCCCCGGATTTTCAAGGGCCGAGGGTGGCTCACCGGACGCCGCCGGAACCGGGTACAGTGAAACTCCTCTAGAACGAAACCTATATGGGCGAAAATACCCCCTTATGTGAAAAAATCTTCATGCATTAACACAATTCCCATTCTCCTGCCCCCCATACGAC